AAAAAAAAAAAAAAAAAAAGAAAAATTTCTAAAAAATAAATACATTCCTAGATCAAATATATATGAAAGACTAATACCTGTAATACCAGCACTTTGGGAGGCCGAGGTGGGTGGATCATGAGGTCAGGAGTTCAAGACCAGCCTGGCCAAAATAGTGAAACCCCATCTCTACTAAAAATACAAAAATGTAGCCGGGTGTGGTGGTGGGCGCCTGTAATCACAGCTACTCAAGAGGCTGAGGCAGGAGAATCACTTGAATCTGGGAGGCAGATGCTGCAGTGAGCCGAGATCGCACCATTGCACTCCAGCCCGGGCAACAGTGTGAGACTCTGTCACAAAAAAAAAAAAAAAAATCTGAAAGAGTTCACTCCTAGCAGACCTGCCTTATAAGAAATATTAATACTAAAATCTAAAGGGAAGCTGTTAAGGCTGAAAGCAAGACATACCAGACAGTAATTTGAATCCACATGAACAAATAGTAAAAGTAATTAAGTAATGGGAAACATGGTATAAATACTTCATCTCTTAAATAATTTATAAAGCAATTGCACAAAACAATATTTACACAATTGTTATTACTGAGTTATAACTTTAAAAAAAAATTTTAAACTTTTGCACAAGGTTATAACATAGAAATGTAATAACAGCACAAAGAAGGGTGGGAAAAAAGTTGTACTGGAGTACAGAAAATGACACCAGATGGCAACTTGAATCCATAGGAAGAAATGAAGAAAACCAGAAATGGTAAATAAGACGGTTAATATAATAAACTCTGTAACACGGTTGTTTAATAAAGTAATAAAAAAAATAAAATAAAAAAAGAAAAAATATAATAAACTCTGTAATAATATATTTGTGTTTTCTTCTCTTCTTTAATAATTATAACAATGAATTGTTGAATTTGTAACACATATGGATGTAATACAGGTAACAGTATTGGCACGGTGGCCCATGCCTGTAATCTCAGCACTTTGGGAGGCTGAGGTGGGCAGATTGCTTGAGCCCAGCAGTTTGAGACCAGCCTAGGTAACATAGTGAAACCTTATCTCAAAAACAAAAAACAAAACAAAAAACCCAAAAGCAAAAAAACAAAAAAAGAAACATATAGCAATATTTACAAAAAAAGAGGGAGAAGGAATAGAGTTATATAGAAGTAAAGTTTCCTTGGAATTAAACGTGGTATAAATTTTATACAAATTAAATGTGGTATAAAATCAATGAAAGTAGATTTTCATAAGTTAGGATGTATATTATAAGCCCTAGAGCAACCACTAAGAAAACAGCACAAAAATAACTTTAAAATCATTAAAGGGACTAAAACATTACATTACAAATATCCACTACATAAATCTACTTTATTAGAAAATATTCACTTAATCAAAAAATGGCAGCAAAAAAGAAACAGAAGAACAAAAACAAAAAAGGGAGATACATATAAAGGGAAAAATGGCAGATTGAATTCAACCATATCAGTAATAACATTAAATGTGAATGAATTAAATACTCCAAGCAAAAGATACAGACTATCAGGCTGAATGAAAAAAAAAAAAAAAAAAAAAAAAAAAAAAAAAAAAAAAAAAAAAAATCCAAGGATACAAAAAAAAAAAAAAAAAAACAAACCAACAGGAAAAGATCCAACTGTATGCTGTCTACAGAAAACACACTTCAGAGTCGAAGATACAAACAGGTTGAAACTAAAAGGATGGAAAAAGATTCAAATGTCCAGTTTTCAACAACAAAAAATCATAAGACATACAAAGAAATAGGAAAGTATGGCCCGTTCAAAGGAATAAAATATATCAACAGACTATATGTTGGATTTACTGGAGAAAGACTTGGAAGCAACTTCTTTTTTTTTT